TTCGGTTGGTCTGTGAAGCAGAAGGTTCCCATCATGTCCCTGGCCAGTGAAACCAGAGAGATCTGCATTTCACGTCCTAATACTGTCAAACTGAATCACCAGGTATTTTCATGTTCTATAGCCATCCAGGTTGAATTGAAATCACTGACTATACGTTCATGCCAACTGCAATCAGCCTCACATGGGAAGAAAGAAAAAGTGTACATTTGTCCTTTGACACATCAAGAGGTACAAAAGGTTCTGGACCAAATGTGAAGAGGCACAACCCTTTAACAACCACACTGCAAACCTGCAGGTCCTGCGCAGATTTGGTGGGTGTTCTGCTGTAAGCTGAGAAAGCCATGGCTAATTAGCTTTCTAGCTTTATCTAGGCTCAACACGCCAATTGTATGAGGTCACATGGGTGAATCCCCAGTCACGGTCAGTTTGTGATATGATCCAGGCTTCAAACCTAAGATGTCAGCATCATAGATCACAACATGTGCTTGGGCAAGGCCCAAGCAAGCTTGCTCAAAGTAAAATATATCCCACACCTGTGGGCAGGATACAGTAAATCAGAATTGAAAAGTCTTAAATGATTTTAACTGGTTCCCTGCATTTCTAAAGCCTTTGTTCTCATGCTCATATTGCTCTAACAACCTTGCAGAAGTATAATACAGCATTATCGCTCCATCTCTCTGCAGGACAGCAACTGTGTGGAAGAACCTGAACCCATTCTGGGGAGAGGAGTATACCCTGCACCTGCCCATGGGCTTCCACACTTTGTCCTTCTATGTCATAGATGAGGACACCATTGGGTAAGAGCCTGCATATCGCACAGCATTGCTGGATAGTTCATCACATAAAGAGGTGCACTGATTGAACTCATTGGGCTGTAAAACGTCAGAACAAATTGACCTCAGCTAGGAAACTGATAGCACAGTCCTTTCCTAGATTAGTGCACTTTCTGACATCACTCTTAGAAACAATTGCATTTACTGATATTTTTTGTACTTACCCAAGGAAGGTATGATACAGGTGAAGTTACCCCTAAATCTAGGAGGTGTCAGACGATATTCTTTTCCCAGTCAAATCAAATAAAATCTGGTGCTTCACTCATAAAATGAACAAACACTGGTTTAGGGTGGTTCATTTCTTTTTTTTTAAAAACCAACATTAAGGCGGTGAAAATTTAGGGGAGGGTGCTGAAGGAAAAGACTGGTGGACAGTTCCATTATGGCCTGGAGAAAGTTGTTTTTTACAGTACGTGCAGGAAGCTGTGTTTTTATCCTGCATGTTATTGAGCAACAGGATCTTGTTAAGATTGTGATTAAAAGATACAATAGTAGTAGTACAGTTAAGGAACAAGTAAAGGTTTGTTCCCTGCCTAAACAAATTTAAGTGAAATATATCATTAGGGACCCAGTATCTTGAGTTGGCTTAAACATGTGCTTTAATCTCATTAAGCCTGCAGTGAAATTGAAATTGGGCACATTTAACTACAGCTGCAGTTTGGCATCTATCAGATACACACAAGGAGCATGAAATGTTTCAGGTGTGTTTGTTTATGCCACTATACACTTCGCTTAAGATGTAGTGAGAGATATGTAAGGCTTCAAATTGCAGGTCCCTGAATTATTAATTCTTTCCTATCCACTCTTTCGATGAAATCTAGATGTGGTTATCATGGGAGGCACAATATCTTTGTGAGGTCAGAAGGGTAAGTACTAGCCAGCAATCAACACAAGACTCGGAATATAGAAATCGCTCAACCATTTAAAAACATCCCAGCAGCCTTGCTCATACAAAGTCAAAATGGGCAAAGTGCAATCATCCTTAAGCATTTCTAGTCTCTTTCACTCTGTGATATTTCATAGCTTCTTCATCTGCCATTTTCAGTTCAGTATTCTTGCTTGCAAAGTCAAGTTTTCTGAACATGATTTTTTTAAAAGCTGCTGTGGGATCACAGTGTTCCCTGTACTGCAGTGTGATCCCGATGGCAGAGAATCACCCAGCAGCAGCCAGGTTCCCCTCAGAGGTTTCCTATCCTATCAGTGACCACAGCCAGCCTTTGTCAGTTTCTGAGACCTGGAGATATCAAGTCACAAGGCGTGACAAGAGGCCCATATAAACACCCTTTAACAAGATATCACTCCATCGGAATAGTGAAAATCAATTCTATTAAGAATCTAGGAGAGAGGTTTTAATTTGAGGCTTCAGTGCCTAAACCACTAGTCAGCATTACTGTGTCAGCTTTGATTTCAAAAACCGTTTTGCAGGCTCACGTGTTAGATGTAGGATTGATTAAACCCATTCTGATTACACTGCAAACACTGTTATTAGCGAGTGAATTAAGCTATGGTGACACTACACACCTACAGTATCTATACATAGATTCTTAAGGGCTCCCCGTCACAGATGACTCAAATACCCAAGAGATGAAACGGTGACCACAGGACGGTAGGGCCCAGCCTGTGCTGTAGCTACAGGCCTGTCGGCCCACCTAGGGATTCCACTCTGCTTCTTCCTCTCTGCCCACAGGCCCACTCGTATCTTGAACAGCTGGGTCACTTCAGTTAGCAGCCGGTATGGTATGATGATCATTTTCAATGGTTTTATACACACAGACAGAAAACTAGTTGTTACATGTACTAACAATTTATTGCACCTACGGTAACCAGTGGTTATCTATCCTTTTTCTTACTCCATCAGCAATGTGTCCCTCAAATTATTTTTTGGTGTGTTGAGACGTGGTGTTTTATTACATATTCCATTGTTAATGGAAATCAGTCTATAGACAGAAAAAGATAGGCAGAGTCATAGAAGTCACTAGAGTGGTTTTGCTCTTTAAAAATGCTTTACACCTCTAGTCAATCTGTGTGCTTAACTTATTCACAAAAATTACTCAAGTCTTTAGTAAAGATTGTCCTAAATTATTAGAGACTCAAGTCCTCGGACAAATAGTTTTCTTAAAGTTACACTTAAGAGAAAGCCTTGAGATTCTGTATTGTACTGTATAACACTAAAGGTTGTTACAGCTGTTAAAATATTCTGTGTGCCATTTTTGTTTTCAAGATATTATCAAGATTGCATTTGTAAGGTATAAATCCTCTGCTCTAAATGTCAGAATGTCAGCTTGCGTTTGGTGCAGGGCTGTAAGGCTGCAGCCCTCTTGCCATCATTCAGGCCTGACAGCTGGATGATCGCCAGCTGTTCCATCTGATCGAGGTTGGGAGACATTTGCTGTAGGAGCTACTGGGTCATCAGAAGGAATGCTGTGTCTAAAGACACACGTCACTGAAACAGAGCTGCCACCTCGGACATTACAGTGATGAATTTAAAATCCCATCCGGGGCTGAAGAATCAACAGGAGATGTTTACAGGGAATCCTGCTACCTGCTCAAAACAGTCTGAACACGCAAAAGACATGCAGTGTCCTGCTTTCAAAAATATATCAGCTGTATAGAATCAAAGGTACATATTGAGCTGGTGAAAATCAGATCCTGTGTAGCACAGTAACCCCCACCTGCAACCCTGCCAGCATCTCATAGTGGAAATCACTCAAGATTCGGCGTTACCTTGCTGCCTTTGTACGAATCAGAGAGCTAATCGCCCTGCCTGTCTGCTGTCCATTGTGACAGTCACAGTGGGGGAAAAAGCTATTACCTACACATGCATCTGCAGTGATTCTCTGAGTAATTTGCTCATCACTAAGCTAGACTAAATACTATGGCATCTGTCAGGGGGAAAACGTTCCAGAATAAAGAAAACATGATCAGCATCCAGGTGGTACTTTGAATAAAGAAACACCATTCCCCCAGTACACATTAACTCTCATGGACTCATTCTCTCCCTGAAGCAAATGTCCACTTACAGAAACCTGAAGCTGTACACATACAGTATGACTTTCTTTCATTTGGTCGATTTGTATTAATTGGCTTTTGTCAATAGAAAATGGGGAATGAGTGTTGCATCAATTCAAACTATTTTAATTTTAATCAGTTATGAACTATTTTAATGATTACAATTAGCTAACTGATCTATACTCCAAGGTGCTTGTAGAGGTGATTAGAAAGTGAGCAAACACATCTGTTTGAGAACTGTGCACAATATAGCGCAAATTATGTTCACATTCAAAAGCTACACTACACACCAGTGGGTGTTATATTGAATTGTCTTAGATTGACCACCATCTTGTGATGCTCAGATGGACACTGGTGTATTCTGTCATTATTTATCTGAACATCTTCCCTCTGCTACCATTTGGCTGTGTATCAAATTTCACTGTCATACCAGGTGCAGTGATGTGAGCTGGTCAGCTATCTGTATGAGTACTTTGCACTTTATGAGTGGCTGGTTAATGATTATTTATTAAGAATTATGGCAAATCTGACCCTTCTTTCCTTTTTCTAGGCATGATGATGTCATTGGGAAAGTATCCTTGAGCAAAGAAACTATTGCTGCCCAATCCAAAGGTAATTCTGGTTTTGTACACCATATACTGTATGCATAACACAGGCTTTACTGAGTGATGGAACCTGTAGGTATACAGCACCTTAGTTCACTTTTCAAGAATGAAAAGTGAGTCATTGTGTTGTTCTCCTTCTCCCCTTCAGTAAAACAGGATGTCTTGAACTGTAGGACGTGTTTACCTGGGATTATGCAGAATTACCAGTTAAGGACCACTAGAACCCTTTCTAGATACTGGATACAGAAAGCATGAAGATCTTTATTACCAGCATTTAGGACTAAAAACACAAGTTCCTTTAATGAGACAGCAAACCAAGGGAATAAAGACATTCGGCTCAAGATTTAGTTTTACCTCAACCACAAGCTTACTAAGTTATGTAATGTTAATAGTAAGTTAGATATATTAACTTTGTATACATCTAAATCAGATTTTATGGCCAAATTGTTCATTTCCTAGAATAAAACAGTTGAGAGAAAGTTTGAAGCGACCGTTCTGCGTACAGCGATATTTGCTTGCAGCTGGATCTGCAGGTGTGGTGACAAAGATGAACCTCAGATCATGTTTGTTTGAAAGTTTGCTGCCAAAGTCACGTGCTGATCTCATTTTCACATAACACAGATTGTTCAAGAATTTCTGAAAGGCTGCCCACTAAAGAGATGCAAACTTGTTTCTCTTGCGGATGAGCTCAAGATTGGAGAATCCACACAGGCAGAAAATACTGTATCAACTGTTCACTATGTTTCAGAAACACAATTGGCAGGAGATTTCTTTTTATGTTCATTTGAACGGTTGGTCATGGCTAATTAGGCTAGATTTTTGTCATGAGCAAAACGTTTTTGATTTTATGAATAATTCCCAAAGTCCTCATTCAAATCCCTTTTCCAAATGGCAACTGCTATAGCTAAAAATAATGCTGCTGACAGGACACTGGGAAGAGAGGAAGTCTGTCCTTGTCTTTTGAGAATCTCTGAGTAGACACCTCTGCACACAACTTGAGGTGATGTCTCGAGAGAACGGGCAATGGACTCATTAGTTTGAACATGTCTTGGTACAGTATGTGGAGCAAAGTTAAAAACGGTGAGAGGCCTGTTATTGACACGTTACTGTAAACCCTGCATTTCTGTTCAGCGATGAGTTCCCCTCAGAGACAGTGTCAGAAGCCATTGGGCTGAGGCTGAAGCTGTCAGTCAGGCTGACTGGCGGAAAGTTTGTTTTACAAGCAGAGAAGCTGAACATCAAGAGACTACTGACAGACTGGGAGTTAAGTGATTGATTCAGCTGTCCCTGTCAGTGCACGCTTATTACCAACGCAAATCAGTCTCTTTTTGTTTTTGTTGCCCTGGATACCAAATTATATTACAGTTTGATAATGTATGTCTCACCAAAGATTAATCTTTTTTTTTTAACCAAAATGTCATCTTACATGTGAAGGCACTGGTGAGGTTGTATAAAATTAAAAGAACTAGTAAATGCTGGACCTCTTCAGATTGCTCTTTGTTTGTTGTGTGAGAGCCTCCAGTCTCATGGACAAATGGCTGTTGATAGGAAAAACAGAAACGTGAGCTGTACAGAGAGGGAGCTGTTTTGTTATACAGTATACAGTACTACTCTGCTCTATGCAGGCTGCCCCAGAGAAATAAAGGCAGTGTTTATAGTATTTTAGGTGTGTCTTTTGGTGTACTGTAGGTCTAGCTTTGATGATAATATAATAATAATCCTCATTGTATTTGATATATTTAAACGGGTAAGTTATTTGGAACAAATTCTCATTGACAAAGATGACAGAGGCTGACTCCACTTGCTGAACAGAAGACAATATTGAAAGAAAGAAATGATCAGCACAAACCAAAATTACAGTACGTCAGTGCTGACAAGAGTCAGGCAGAAGATATTTAGTCACCCAACTGAAAATATTAGAAAAATGAAGGTGGACAGTTTCAGTTTAATCTGCAGATTGTTCCAGTCATTGGCTTTGGCAAATTGAAATGACTTGTGCCTGATGCTGGTTAGTGCTCTTGGGAGGTTCAGTTTGATAAAGGTGCTACATCTTAAATTGGCAGGTGGTTCAGAGAACAGCAGTGCACCATTTGACATGGGAATGAGTTTTTGCAATTAAAGAACTGTACTATTTATTCATTTAAACCAAGGAAGCATTTATCCAGCTGCAGAGAAGAAACATCACAGAGGTGAAAGAATCAAGAGAGATCTGAAAGTGATGGGGGTGCCAGTGATGAACCTCATGGCAGAATGGTATAAAGCATCCACTTTTATAAGAATAGTTTAAGGTCATTCTTTAATCAACCTACTAAAACAGCACCATGGAGAGATGGAGAGTACAGAAGTCTGAAGTGGTGCACTAGTGCAATGTGTAAAAGGTTTGTTGTGATAAAGGAAACCAAGCAGATTTAACTTTGACGTGGAATGTGTTAAGGGGTTTTGAAAGCTAAAATGCTATCCAATTAAATACCAATATTTACAGTATGAACCACAGTTTCCATGGACTTGAAGTCACACTTTAAGTAAAAGATCAGAAACATTATTAGTAAGGAAGTAGTTCAAAGCCCACGTTTTGTTTGATCAGAGCACAGTTCACAGAATGCCAGCAGAATTTCATCTAAACTGAGCTGCAGATTGGTCCTTATTGATGATGTGGTTCCAGCTGAATATGAGGTGATGTGGTCTGTGTAGAGAAGGATATGAGAGTGGCCTATCGCCTGAGCAAGACTGTCAATTCATTTAAAGAACAGGACCCAGGATAGAACCTTGTGTAACTGAAAGAGGTTGTGAAATAAATGTCAGGTTTTAAACACTGCTTATGCTTTTTTGATATTGAAACCATACAAGGGAGTTTATATCATAACCAGTACTATGCAACGTTTCTGAAAAATTGGGTGAGAATCTGTAGAGAAATCTTTTAAGATGGTTAAACAGATTTTTGTTTAGAGCTCTTTTAATATCTTAATGATAAAGTTTTTCAAGGCTGCTGCAACACATACACACAGAAACCCAGACTGAATATTTGTTGAAATATAGCTGTTACCTATTAAAGAGCTCAATAGTTCTTTTATCATTTACTCCTGATATCATCAAAGGTGAGACAAATGAATAGACCTGCATGGTGGGGGGCTCCTGCATGTGTTGGCTGGGAAGGATCAAATAAAGGTGAACTGCTGAAGAATAGGAAGGTGTGTGGGGTAGGCTCAACAAGGCCCAAAGACTGTGCTTCTTCTTTCTGAAGATAAGTTGACTTCCTGCTTGAATAAGCAGGTCAGTGGAGCAGATCTTAGATTAACGTTTTTGATCATGATCAGCACCCTGGTTATTGTCACTTTTGCCAAGCTCAGCCAGTCTCGTTCAGTAACTGGCTATTCATTAAACTGATGCGACTCTGGAGCTTGGCCACATCAACTCCACTAGATCTGCATTACTCAGTTGACCCTTTATACAACTAGCATTAATAACATGTTCATTGAATCCATTAACCATTTATTTATTTCATAAGCAACTAAAACTGTGTTTAGATACTATGTTTACAACGTGTTTAGATACTACTGTGTAAACACACGAAATACTCCTAATACTCATATCCTTTCAGTAAAAATTCAGTATAGACTGCTGTGGTTTTCAGCTATACTGTAGTTAGAATTGTGTGACACATTTTATTCTGAAACAAGAAGTGAAACTGACAGTTTTAAAAATAGAAAAAAAACAATACAAGCTGTTTCGTGTTATTTTCTGCTTAATTAAGATGGATAGTAGTGAAAATAGGGATTTTCTTTCAGTCTCTGGGTGACAGGTATGCAAAAGTGCGCATTGTGATGGGTAAAACAGCATGAATCCCCCCTCTGTGCACTTTAACGCTGGCTGGATCATTGACTCTGGGGGGAGAAAGGACAGTGGTGACACTGGGTCTCCAAGCCACGACATTCCCACGACATTCCCAAGATTCAGACACCTCCACACAGCAGAGAGCAGCAGCGTGTGATTTTGGAGACTGGGGTTAGGTGCCTGTGTGTGCTGGATAAGGATGGGTCAAGATGAAAGGCAGCTGGAACCCAGTCATATCACGCTACATGAGACTTGGTGCATGGCAGGTCCTGATACTATAGATGACCCTGAAATCACAGGCACAAAGCTCTAATATTGACATACAGTATGTCTGACTGCATAGTATCTTTCTGGCCCAAACTGTTGGCATTTGCTCTGCACATGAGAAATAAAATAAAATAGAAATTTACTTAACTATGTCCTGTAAGTTATAACACTGGGTCGGAGTGCCTAGGAGTCTCTGATTCATGTTGCATTTTTGGGCTAACTTTCTACCACAGGTTTCAGACACCATGCCTGTTCTCGGGTGTTCTTGGGTGATCAGGACTCTGTTGGTCGGTGGAGTTTCCCCCTCTTACCTTTTCCATTCCATAAGAAACAAGCTTGATGAACAGCAGAGTGAATGAGATTCATCTATACTGGTAGTTCTGCTCATTTTCACCATGACTCCATAAGCAACCCATTATTTATCAAGGTCGTCTGCTACAAACTGCCTGATCCTGGATTGTATGCAGGCAAACTGGTTTAAGGAGCCAGGTTATTCCAAGGACCTGAGGTTTTTTAATGACCGAAATGAGTGGGATCATTCTGTACTTTTATAGCTTCGATAACCTGACACACACTGGGTTGTATAGTCTGTAAACTGGCAGAAGACTGAACAGAATAGAAACAAACGTGTCAACATGGGTGAAAGTTAATGGATGGAAAACATTGAGGAGTGAATCGGTACTTTGTGGTTTGAGCGGTAGGTGGCAGTTGTTTTGTTACATTTCACAGGGGTGTATGGGAAGCTGATGTAAACAGAGCCTTCTGGTTTCATCAGGACGTGCTGTTCTGGTGGCTTGCATCCAGCCTAGGTGTCTTGAAAGGAGTCCAGAGTCTTAATGGTTCAATTTTAAATTATACACTTTGCACAAATCCACACTGCAGCTTGGCATAGCTGCTGCAATGGTCCATGTTTATCCCAGAGTGGCTTATCAATTCTTGGCTACTGATCAGACACAGATTGATTAGGAGTGAGAACTGTCTCTCAGGAACTAAAAAATGAGACAGGTTTATTGAAAATCAATGAGACTGTGATATGAAAATCTTTTTATATAAATGAAAGGCAAAGTGGGTCTTACTGTTCTACAAAAATGAAGAATTCTGTGAGACGGTTATTGTTTCTGTAAATGGCACTTTTAATGATTTGTAATTTAATAGAAAAATTTGCAGAAGAAAACGTAATGCATTTCTCAGTAAAATTGTGTACAACTTGTTATCCATCACTTTGTCCTTCATTGCTAATTTTGTCTCCCTCAAAGTCTTTTATCAACAGCTGTCAAGCTCAGTACTGTATTTACTTAAAAGACAGATGAGGTCATTAAGAGACCAGATTATTTTCCACTATTTTCACTTCATGCATGATATGAAGTTATTGGTATTTTTGTGTTTGCTCTTGGGAAATGAGGAATTTAGCCATCTGTTTATGAAATTAAGATTTTATTTCTTGTGAAGTATTTTGAACTAGTAAGTGCTTGAACAAAGCTATCAAAATGGAATATCTTTTGATTTTGAAAATCTTAGGATTTCAAGTAGTCCCACCTTTCCTCTGTATCACATTTAAAATTAATTTCTGTGTATAAACCCACTTCAAAGATCAAATGACTGCCCACTCTATACATTTCAGTATTCATACATACATCTCTCTTTTTCCAAGTATTGCATTGTAGGCTGTAGCGTTGATGGACTAAATAAGCAAATATGTCTCAGGAGGTACAGACAGGCACCACGGCGGATCACGTCTGCAGTGGTCATCACATTCTGTTCACCCCAGAGGCTGCTCGGTGGCACTCAGTCATGAGCAGGAGTGATGATGGCCATTCCCCAGTCGTCTCTCGGTAGTGACCTGTTTGATTGCACCTCTGCAACAGACCCATTGAATATTTACACATTTTTTTAAATCAGTAGCCTACAAAGCCAGATTTTGTTAAACAGCAGGCCATAAAAAGGTGTGGCAACTGACAGGGTGAGCTGTGGACCAGACAGGGAGTTATTTTTCAACTAGAATTCAAGAAACATTACAAAGGCCCCTAGCCCACAGCTTGCAGCAGTATGGATGCATGTACAGCACTTTGATGTTGTTTGACAA